TGAGTATTTCACATCATGATTAAATCAGAAATGCCTCACAATAGCCCACTGCCACATAATAGCCCACTGCCACATAATAGTGATGGATCTACTTCCACAATAGCCTTTAATTCTTAATTTTCCGCTTTGGTCTCCGGCCGTCCACGGGATTGGTTCTGAAGGTCGAAATTTCCAGAACGAAAGCGTTGAAACCAAAAACGTACCGTGCTTTCTTTTGCGACCCTAGCGCCGTACACATCATTAATTCTTCGAGCTTCGCGCTGCAGCACTGGTGCCACGGTAGAAGTCGTAATCGTAAAGATACGATATTTTATGTTTTCCAATGTGCGGTAATAAGCGACGTCAAAGAAAAAAAAATAATGATGAAAAAACAAATAAATGACTGTTTACCAAACCCAAATGTACCAGCTCAATGAATTTATAAATTTGAATTTGGAATTCTTAACCAAAGAGGAGATATTTCAGATCGAAATGGTCAGTACGACAAAACGCTAATTTCATATGTAAGGACCTAATATTAAGTCAAATACGTCGTAGATTAAATTAAGCCGTATAATACAAACATAATTTAATAAAATAGTGCAAAAACGCGTGTTACTCATACACAATATACTTCAACACGAAAACTTTTATAAGACGCCTTAATATATGTTCCTACTAAATAAAACTAGTTTCAATAGTTTAAATAGAACAAAATTACTCATTTTAATCTAGAGGAAGCCGGGGCTGACTATAAGATCCCACCAAAAACATTCTGTAAAAAACTAGCCAAATCTCGATGTAGCTGCTTGTTTATCTCTAAAAAGTAATGAAATCTAGACAAAGTCGTGCCAAGTCTAAGGTTCCTTACTGTGATTTCTTTATTATTATAGTTAATGTTGTATGACTTGGCCGTTGAAGGGTACACAAGGGTACAAAACCAGGTGCTACATGACACCCTTGCACCAATCTGTCGTCAGAACCGCTATCCATTGAAGATGGAAAATTGCCACTTGGAAAACGTTGATTGAATAACCAGTCAATTGTAGGCGTCAAATCGACCACCGATCTAACATAAAATAAACGTACAGACGGACTTCTATCAATGATTCGAAGTCCGCCTGTACTGGAAATAATTTTTTATACTGTTTGTTTCAGGCTCGCCTATACAAAAGTATTATTGAAATACGCAGCTTTATCAAGCCTACAATTGACTGGTTATTCAATCAACGTTTTCCAAGTAGCAATTTTCTATCGTCAATGGGTAGCGGTTCTGGCGACAAATTGATGCAAGGGTGTCATGTAGCACCTGGTTTTGTACCCTTGTGTACCCTTCAACGGCCAAGTCACACAACATTAACTATAATAATGAAGAAATCGCAGTAAGGAACCTTAGACTTGGCACGACTTTGTCTAGATTTCATTACTTTTTAGAGATAAACAAGCAGCTTCATCGAGACTTGGCTAGTTTTTTACAGAATGTTTTTGGTGGGATTTCACTTCTTTTTGTAGAAACGTGGGCACATTGATTTATTTTATTAGATTTTCTTATTCGAATTATTCTTTTTCTTTTTTAGGAGTAATTTTTTTATTATTACAAATCTTTCTTTTCTTTTTTTCTGGTTCTGATTCTTGTACAGTAGCAACAGTTTTTCGTATTGCCCATTCGCGTTCATTATTTATTCTTTTAGACGGTTTAGACGGTTTAAAATCTGAAAGATCGGCGCGGTATTTACGCCTAAGCCGGTTGTATTCGGTGATCGCTGAAGCTTGAGCTTTTATACTCTTGAAGTCAACATTTATGAGGTGCATCCCATGAAAATTGGTTACTCGTGAAAGCGCCACGTAGGCTTGGCCACAAGTGAATATGGAGGCGCCAATGTCCATGAGGGCATTATTTAGACTTAGACCTTGGCTCTTGTGAATTGTTAGGGCATACGCCACAGAAATCGGGAATTGTTCCCTGTACACGTATGCCCGGGGTATGATCTCAAATTTTGACTTAATAGTTAATAATGCGTGAATCAAATTATTAGCGAATTTTACTACCAATTGTTTAGGATTTGTTTGGTCTTCCGGGTCCCACCTCACTTTTTGTACAACGCCTAATGACCCATTCACTAAACCTAAACTAACATCAATATTTCTTCTAAGCATGACTTTAGCTCCCTCTTTAATGATTATAGTTTCTTCCAGTCCAGCAGTCATCGACGGATCATCTTCATATTTTTTTAAACACGCCCGGGCTTTCGTTATCATACATTTTGAACAATCCAAGGAATCTTTAGCAACTAACTTTATCTCGGGGTGCGGAATCGCTTTCAACATAGCATTATTTAACTGCATACACATATTTCTAGCCGGTAGTAAACAAACAGTATCTTCTGGTAAGTCTAGTGTAATTTGTTTATTTAACCTATCTCTTACTGCGCCCGCCGTAACAAAAAACAGTTTTGTCACCTCAGCTGGCGGCACTTGTTATAAACATTTATGTTTCTCACTTATGTTTAAAGAGGTTTTTGTTACAGTTATTTAAAGCCGATAAGATTTTCGATAAGTAGAAACAATAACCATAACATTTAAATGTTTATTTTATTTTGTACAGCTCTTTGTTTCTAACGGATCTTGATAAAGTGTACTTACTGAAAACAAATTTTATTTTATGAATGAAATATCATAAGTTTTTATTTTATTTTTATGTCCTTATAATCAATACAACATATTCTTCCTAAATGAACCGAAATTATGCATGTAATAATTATAATAACTCTAATTTTTAACTTGCATACATTTGCTAAAAATTCGACAATAGACAGTTTGCGCGCGCTTTGTAACCTCATTTTCAAAACCTTTTTGTGTATATATTATAGGGTCTTCCTTTATTTTTCTTATACAATCATATAGATATAACATTTAGCAATTCCTAGTAAAAGTATTTACTATGGTATTCGATTAAGAAATATACTATTGTTATCTTATTAGAAATCTTGACCGTTATGAATTGTTCGCGTAGAGGTTTTTTGATTCTACTTTTTTATCAATTGAAATATAAAAAGTTACTGTTTTTGTAAGTTAGATCATTCAAAAACATTACGTAGTAAAGATAAATAACATTACTTACAGTTTTTTGAAAGAAAATCCAACTAAAATCACAATAACAAAACTTCAACGATTACGCAACTAACAGCGCCTACAGCACAAAAGCGAATGGCTGTTATATTTGATTTTGTCTATGTAACCGAGTGAATATAATTCTTCAGAATACTCTTTAGTTCGTTTAGAATCGAATGAAATAGTGTTCAATTGAAAATATACTGTATTTTTATATAATTTAATGAAGAAAATAGCAGCACGTAATGCGGACATGAATTCATGTCCGCGGTACTCAACGGTCTCGTCGAGATGAATTCATGTCCATGGTACCTTAAGGCCGAATATGAAGAGAACTGGCGAAAATTAATGTATTTCTCTTGACTAGAACTTTGACCTGTAGTAATTCTAAGCTTTAAAACATTTTTGTAGGTTTGTTCGGGTCCTTCACAAGGTGACCGTCATTTCAAAATTTTAAAATAAATGAATATACCAACAAATAAAAAAATGTTAAGAAATGATATATAAAATTATTGTTCCTCTAAAACTCTGTGAATTTTAATTTAGGAAAAATTCTTTTACGTAAAAGTGTTTGTATTGTGATTCCGAAGGTACCTGCTATCTTTATTTTCGATACAAAATATTATTTATTAACATAATTCGTTTTAATTAAAAACACCTAATAATAATATCGTATATTGCCAGATAAAAGTTTGCCGTAATAAATTACCAGGCGCTTCGACGTGTGACGTAAGGTAACAACAGTCGATGTGTCTGTGGCGAAAATCGTTAATTTAGTGTTTTATACGCGTTTAAGTGACTATAAATGTAAATATAGGTAGGAAAAGAAATAAATGTTACCTAAGTGGTAAAACAAAGAGAGTTTATCGCATGAACGCTGCTCGAATGTTGTATTTTGAGGTTAATACTTATATTTTTGTAAGGTAATTTTTTGTTTTATGCTGCCTAATAGGTTGCATTTTAACTCATTTACATTAGCCAAACTGATCATTTATACTTTTCTAGTTTCAAGTGGGAAACACTAAAAATGTATATATCAAGACCCAGTCGGAAAAGAATGTACAGAGTAGTGCAAGCACAGAGACCGCAAATAGTGTCATAGTCAATGTATTGTCCGAAAGCATGGGGTAAGTACATAATTAAGAAAAACCGAAATACTTCGGATGTGAAGTGATTGACCAGTCGGAGTAGTCTTGTGAGAATTTACATACACAGTACCTATCCCCACTATGGGACAATCACTGATTTTTTAGTTTTTTTTTTCTTTATTATTTATGCACTTTGCATTACGGCATCTTGTAAGACTCACAAGAACAAACATTTTCAGTTATATGAGGTTCTTTACGTACGATGCACCAATTAAGAAAAAAAATCGTTATCAATTCAATAACTTTTCGAACAATTATTTTATAACGAATAAAGTACAGAATTTATAATCTATAGGAACTAATATTATAAATAAGAAAAATTTATTTAAGATGTAAGCAATGCTCTCTGTGTTGTTCATTACTCTGCATACTCGGACAAATATAATATAATCAAAGCCCGTACGGCTTTGATTATAGGTGTTATACATGTCTATATAAACAAAGCGTACCGGCGGCGCGTGGTTTGCTGCGAAACGAGCAAGGTCATTCGCGTCGTATTCAGCGGAATTTGAGTAATGTTCGAGTAGAATAAAGTTAATCGTTCGGCTATTTTTTCTTGTAAACTTGTAAGTATAAGTATAAAAGCCAATCTAGTGTTATCCAGAGTTTCCTTTAATTTTATTTATATGCGTATTAAAAGCAGAAGGGGAGGCATTCGCCCAGCAGTGGGACGCTATAGGCTAGATTAAATTAGATGTGTCCCACTACGCTGGATTTTTGCAATGACAGTAGATTTTTATGTACCAATGGTAGAAGGGGGCATTACCATATCTCTAATACAGCTGAGACCAGCTGAGGGTTCTTCATCAGATACTTTAGACCTTCGATTTTTGACATCAAATGAAGCGGCCCACCAAGTTGAATATTTTTTTGTAAAGGCGGTATGTCGATCTCTTCTAATAGTTTGGTTGGGCTCTTGTGTTTTCTAATCAGGGTCACCAGGTACTCCAGATGTTCGATTATCCTAGTTTTTATAGTTTTCCCTTTATGTGGCCATTAAACCCTAACTCTGTACCACATTTCAGCTCTCTGAGTTTATGGGAAGTACTAGTTCTATTTTGATGATCATGAGTGAGTGAGTGAGTGTCTAAAATGCGAAACTTTGCTTTCGCTTAACTTCGGAACTAAATGACCTACAGACTTTAAATTTTGGATTTTAAGTATGTGATTATAGTTTACTGGATGACGAAAATTTCTGCATTCTGGTATTATCCAGAGGTTCTCAAATAGGGGCCTGAAAATGCGGCGAAATGGTTCCAGTAAAGGATGGTACGGCAGTGTTTGCTTCGCGCTCGACTTGGCGGCGGCACTGCCGTGCCCCCCGATCGGGAAGTCGAATACCCCGTCCCCCTCCCCCCACGTGACCATGGGTGCTGTAAAGTTTTTTAAAACGTCAGGAATATAAAACAAGTTAATATACGCGATAAAATCCGTAAAAATAAGTTTTATTTAAATGTGCAGTGTTCGCCTAAATATAAGAAATCATTAAATTCAATACAGTTATAAATTTTATTTTTAACGCAAATAGCTACATCATCTGTGTGGTTTTGTTCAAATATTTGATATATTATAACGAGCTTGACAAAGTAACTTACCAAAAACAATCATTTGCTTAGTTCTTGAATCCTCTTCCATGAATGTTGAAACGACACACGTGTAATCACCAGAGATGTCGGTGTCGGGCTTCACTATGCGGAGTGCTCTGTGCATTTTTAATGGATCGCTTGATGCTCTGTAGGCCAAGTCAACACGTCCTCTCAATATCCCCATGTCCTGTGGCTTTTGCGACACGATCCATTGGTAGACAGGTCTAGCCTTGTTTCTGAAAAACCACTTCACTACCAGTCCCGATGTGTTGTTACCATAAGTATAGTCACAGTCTAGAATCACAGCGTCTTGCAAACCGTACTGTATTATTTCTGGTACTTCTATTTTCACTATTTTGATTGCAATCAATTCTGAAACAAAGAAATGAAATTTATTGTAATTTTCATAGTAAGTTGATAAGTAATAAAAATACATTTGATTTGTAGTTGCGGTTTTATTAAAAATCTTGGACCCGTGAAAATCCAAAATATTTTGTTTGCAAATAGCATATTAAAAGGGATTTAGATATACAAATATTGAAGTTGATTTTTTAAATCTGATCTTTACTGAACATTTCCTATGAAACCGATGAAGTAAGAAACGATCTTACAGTCCACGAGAGATGTGTTGTTACCTCTGATAACCAAGATTGTGTATTATATAATATTGTTGCTTTTTATTGCACTGTCTGGTTTTTTGAAATAATTAAGGTGTAAAAGAGAAATATATTTTTTAATTCATTGTAGGAAATAACATTGTATCAATTTTCCATTTATTTTAAAAGTCTAAAAACATTTTAATAAAACAAGGTAACCGCGGATGGGATGGAATACTTTCCTTAAATATTATTTTGGTGGCCACTTTCTTTAGTCTTCAATTAAAAAACATCCTTACTGAAGTATAAAATACATACAATATCGGAAAACTCTTCGCACATACCCCTCTACATACCTATCTATCTATTTAACATATTTTTTTAATGTAATTTTTACCAACTTGTAGACAGCCGTTTGATTTGAAAACTTGCACTCGTATCAAGAACCGATGACAGTACGATAATTTATAACTCTATCCTTATGTCCTGATCAGAATCACCAGAATAAAATAAAATAACTTTAATGAATTTCACAGTTCCATGATAAAAGCGTGTTGTTTAAGTCTTATATTATTTTTACATACATAACATATTATATTGAACTATACTTTTTCTGATAAAACTATATAAATCGTCGTTTCTACTATTTCTACAATGAATAATAATTCTTCTACTTTATCATCATCATCATGCAAAAGTCCACAGCTGGACATGTGTCTAGGGAGAATTAAGAATCGCAGTAATCGCCGGTCTTCATATATTACGATTTATTTTTATTTTATTTCTACCCCCTTAATAATATTGTTGTATCGCCATCTACGCATGATAGCTCAAGGGCTAAACGTTTGCTGCAAATTCATAATACGCGAACAACCCGGGTTCGATCCCTGCCCTAAACCCATAATTGCAATTTTAAGTGCCGATTTACAAGTGTGAAGGAAAACATCGCGAGAAAGCCAGCATCTCTGCGAAATATTAAAAAGAATAATATTTCGAGGAAAGGCAGTGTTTACGACAGTTCCTTGCCTTAGAACCCCTCTGAAATAATGAAAGGTGTGGGTAGTACCGCCAGTGGGTGCGTATATAGGCTGTATTTTAACTTACTTTAAACGCCATCTATCGATGATATATTTCTGGTATTTCCCATAGTCGCCTTTCACGAGACCTACGGGACGATACGGGTTTGTATTCGCTTACACCGCCACCACACTGAAATTTAATTTATTAGAGGTATATTTATTCTTTATAATAATTTAAAAATAAAAATACTATTCTACTATTATTTTAGTTCTGATCAGGTCTTTATCTTAAGCTCGTTTTATTACTTTATATAATATACCTAATGCCTCGTTATAAATATCTTCATAAGAATATATTTATAACAAATACGTGTAAACAGTTTTATTAGTATGCTTTTCAAACAAACCCTCATTTCCCTGAAATATTTAAAATGTATATTTACATAAAGATTTATCCTATACCTTTAAACGAGCAATTATTTTATATATATATATATATATATATATATATATATATATATATATATATATATATATATATATATATATATATATATAATCGGAATCTCGGAAACGGCTCCAACAATTTTCATAAAATTTTGTGTGCAGGGAGTTTCGGGGGCAAGAAATTGATCTAGCTAGGATTTATATTTATAAAATGTCTTTTTGTCCGTTTTTAGGCAATGAAAAACTGTTACTATATCGTTGGAATAAGAAGGTAAATTTTGACAGTTTATTAGTGATTACAAATAGCTTAATTGGTATATTGGGCGGTCACAAAATCGTAATACCGTGGTTCGAGCTTAGACCGACCGACCGATTTTTCTTAATTTTTTTTCAAATATTCCTTTCTTTTTTGAGAAAATCTATTTTTTCGAGCCTTTTTTTAGTATTTTTTAAAAACACGAAAATTTAAATTAAACTAATTGCACTCATGATTTTTTATTCTATTTGAATAAAAAACCACCAGTTCATTTTTTTCTATTATGTCGCTAAGATCAAAAAATATTATTCGTTGAATAAAACTATTATTTACGGATATTTATTACGGATATATATATTTTATATTTTACTTTAATTTATTTTTATTATTACTACGCTTCGGGTGCTTTACAGCGCCCATGGTCACGGGGGGACTAGTCCCCCCGTGACCATGGGCGCTTGCCCGAAACGTCGGGATAATAATAAAAATAAATTAAAGTAATTAAACGTAACGTAAATAATAGTTTTATTCAATGTGTAGTGTTCGCGTAAATTTAAGAAATCATTAATATTATTCGTATTTCATCAGTATGTAACTTGTATCTAAATATAATTTCCAAAACACACGAATTAAAAAAACCGAGCGAAAAATACCGTGCAAAGCTCGGTCAACCGGGTATTATACATTATGTAAAGCAATAATATCACGAATAAACCCTATTGAATTATGACTACCAAAAGTTTTTAGTGTAATAATTTCACCTACAGACACAATGGAATAATGATTAATTCATTGAAGTCTGGTAGTGTAATTATTGAAAAATCATAAATGAGCGTTCGCTTGATGTAGATTTTGTGTAGATAAATGGCTCCACTCTTGACTAGGCGGGATGGAAATACATTGTGTTTGCTCTGCGCTCTACATTTTGATCTTGAAGTATTTTCCAATATTTTTTATAGGATAAGGGTGACAAGATAACACAAAAAAGCAGGGAAGCAATAAAATAAGTTATGAAGAACATGTAAAACGCGGATATTCCCGTCAGTACTAAGTCAAATAACAATCTAGTAGTTAATTAGAAAAGAATAATTTAGTAGCTGCTATTCGTCTACATCTCTCATATTATTTGACGTGAATGAATAAACGTTATAATAAAGTGTCAGACCAAGCCGTCGCATTAATTGTTTTTGTTGAATTCATAAAACTATTTCTTTGTATAAAGACCCGCTTCCACTAAATTAAGACAGTGGAAATGAAATAAGACTTTTATTACCAAGTTCAAAATACACCAAATTTGAGAAAAGTAAACATCTTTGTACCAACTTTTTAACTGTATTAAATAGATGTTTCTACTGTTCGGTGGCCAGTTAACGTTTATAAAAAATAAGGAAAAATTAGTGTTATTCGTTATTTTATTTTTAAATTACCAATGATATTTTTCGATAAGGGTTGTTATTGGTTTATGTCGAAGAAAATAAATCGTTCAATTCGTTGGAAACTAACATACATTCATATTATATATTAAAAAGTTAAAATTACAACCAATATACGTCCCACTGCTGGGCATAGACTTCTTCTCACTTTTGAGAGGGTTTTAGGGCAAAAAGTGTCTGCCACGCTACCTCAATGTGTGTTAGCGAACTTCACACGTCTTCGAAAAAATTTTATTCTTATTTCTCAAACATGCAGGTTTCCTCATGATATTTTCCTTCATCGCGAAGCCCGTAGTAAATCAGCACTTAAAATTGCAAATAACAATTTCATTGGTGCTGGCGAGGGTTGAACTCAGGTTGCTCGCGTACTGTGAAATTTACAGCGAGCGCTAACCATTTGAGCTACCATGGATCAGTATTTGTAAAGTAACAACTTTCAACTATTGAATAAATTCGACCATTGTCGCCATCTACATTCAATCATCTTTACACGCTTTCAGTAAAATGTGTAAAGATGATTGTGAATATGTGTGTAACACTCGATTTTGCTCTCCATTTAACTTCTCTGGCTATATACGAAGATCGATCTTTGAGCTGCTAAAATCATTAAATATATAAATTAATTTTATTTTACATTTTTAGAGTTTATTGGAGTTTACTCTTAAGAATCTTTTCGTATATAGCGTACGGTATGAAAAGAGATAATAACGTAAAGGATACGTGTCAATTACCTAATGCGATGTTTCACGATTCATGACACATGTAACTTCTGACGCTCATGTATCATATTATAATTTCTACAAGCCTGTATTGTATTTAATAATGACCTTACTATTCATGAAATAAATAATGTAATAATTTAATGTAATAAAAATATAAGTCATATATTTTATACATAACATAATACATAAACACTCACGCCTGTCACCCAGAGGGGTAGGCAGAAACTACAGACTTCCATTTAGCACGATCCTGACATACCTCTCTCGCCTCTTCCACATCCATATACCCACGCATACATGATCGTCGGTTAAGGGTACTCTTAATTTGGCCCATTTATAGTATATCGCCAATTTGGTCGACAAACTTTCGCCTAGGACGTCCCTTTCCGACTCTTCCATTCACTTCTGCAACATATGTTTGTTTTGTCAGTCTTTCCTCATTCATTCTTTCTACATGACCAAACCACAGAAGCATTCCTTTCTTAATCCTGGTCACCGCATCATCTTGCAAACCACACTCTTCTCTTATCACACAGTTTCTCACCCTGTCACTCAGATTCAGCCCTAACATACTCCTTAGCGACCGCATTTCTACTGCATTTATTTATTTTACTCTCGTGCTTCTGCCACACCCAACTTTCACTACCATACGTTAAAGTAGGGACTAATACAGCATTGTGAATTGCCATACGTGCCTTTTTTGAAACATTCTGACTTTTCAAAATAGAGTGTAGAGCTCCATTTACTTTATTTCCTGCATTCACTCGTCGTTCAATATCCTTATCATATCTCCCATCCCTGCTGAATACACATCCCAAATATACGAACTCATCCACTTGCTCAATTAACTCTCCTCTTATTCTTATTTCACATACCGTTTAGCTTTCTTCTCTTTCAAAAACCATCACTTTCGTCTTACTTGCGTTCACTTTCATTCCCCTTTCTTTTAATGACCTGTTCATAACCATCATTTGCAACTCGGCCGCTATTTTATGTAATATATATTATCAAATTAATATAAATAAATATAAAGGTTCATTTATTTCCTTTGCCTATTGTTAAGGTAATCGTTTTCAGGAGTAAACTCCAGTCACGCGTCGGAGCTGACACGCACAATTTTTTTGGACGAATGTTCTTTTGACGTACCGTAAAGTCCCTCTTAAATTTAATTTATACTTGCGATTGTTGTCACTTGGTGAAAATCCAGTTTCATCTGTATGTGGAAATAGTACAAGTATTTATCCAAATCAAAAAGATAGCTCCATAACCTTTCTAAGTTTATGTAACTGACCATAGCAAATGTAAGGCGGTTATCATAATTTTTCCTATCACAAATTTTTCGTAAGCCTATCATTGCGTAAAGTGAAGATGTCATTACTTATATGTAGGTAGCCGAAGGCATATACCAACGCACACATTACCTATCAATCTGACCTCAATCTTATATCAAATGTCAGAGGCGTGCTTTCAACAAAATTGGTGTCGCCGAACAATGACATTTATTTTCCGTAGAAAACAGTAATATACTGATACTGTGTCGTCAAATGTTACGACTGATATTAGTATTATTAGTTATTACAAAAGAAAAGACACATATCTCCTCTTTTGTATATTTATCTATATTTTAAATAATTTCATAGTAGCGGCGTGCCATTTTATAATTACTTTAATTAGTTGCCATTTAGGCATTAAACGTGTAGTGGCAGTGTAAGAATACCACCTGTCCCATATCGACGAGTGGGACACGCACGGGTAAGAAGCGACAAAGGGAAACTGAAACGACTATGGGCAGCGGCATCTTCTCAACATTAATCAAAATTATAAAAAAAACTGTGAGTGCAAAATACAGCAAGGCAATTATGTGGCAATCTTCAGCAGTGAACTTTTTGAGGCTGTAATGGATTTAAGTAATTACAAAAATAGCTTAAAAATAAAATTAGTTAATTTAATGAATGATAAATTCAAACAAAACACAAAAAAAAGATTACCTTCGAAAATTAAGTGTTTTAACTTAATTTTTTATTAATAAAAGTACCTATTTTAAAATTTACCACATTACTTTTTTGATTTTAGCACGCTTTTTTACAGTAATATATTGAAAGATGCCATCTATCTGAGGCCATAAGATCTTTCTAACTTTACATAAACGCATTTCGTGATATCTACGAGATGATATACCAAATGAGCAGATGGATTAATTTTTCGCCTCTATTACACGGCAAAGCTTAATATTATGAAAAATATGATTAATTGAGAATTTCTTCAAAACGCTGAGGACATTTTAACATTTCAGCAAAACTTATGGAGCATGCCACCAAGCCTGGAATAACGTCAGTTTATGGGCCATAGCGCAACAGTGCATGAGTTTATAACCTGTAATAAATAATACCGATTCGAGATTCGGTCGGCGTGTGAAAGGTGTTATTTATTCGTACGAATATGAACTTCACATCAGATATTAGTTTTAGTATATCTTTGGTGTTTGGGAATGATTTACGACTTTTGCTACATCTGAATGTTAGCACTGCGGTGTAGTGACTTCAAGTAGTTACATAGTCAACATTAATTATATTGTTATCCACTCTGAGCATACGGGTGTGTTGGGAATAGTTTATTACAGTGCTGTAATGAGGAGCTAAGGCCGTGTCTAAACGACGTCGAGGTAAACATAACATTTATGTTTCTGATTGGATAATTTGTTCTTGATTAAACAGCACCTGGTTTAATATGTAAAAGACATTTTAGAGTTATTATAATAACGCTGTATTTGCATGTGTTTTTAAGATCATTAAAGTCTATTTCAGGGTCATGAAAATGGGGTGCGAAGTCAGAAGTCCTCCACGTGTGCCTGGTAGTTGATAGTCCCTCTCGATACGTCTGGAGGGAAGAGCAGCAACTGGGCCGGTGCACCCTGGGCGCGGCGGTAATCTTCCTCGAGAAATGAGAAGAAATTCTTATTCCTTGGGGAATGTTGCTGCCGCGGCTAATTATTCTGACTTGGGGGGGGTCCATCCCGGACCAACAGTGCGTTCCTCTGCGTGACCCTCTGATCAGCAGAGGGCATAGCAGAGGAGCGAGGGCGGGTTCGGTGTGCACTTACCCCTGCCTCCGGGCAGACAGTGAAGGATTCATCCTTTGCTGTCACCGCCGGTCTCGTAATCCCAGTATCGAAGTGTCGTGGATCATGTCTCGCGGCTTTGATAAGGACCGAGGGTCTTGGCTTAATCGCCCGGACCACGAGGGAGAAAACCTCTATAAAAAGTTACCCCGAATCCCAAGCGGCGACGTACCGCGAGGGGATGGATGGCTGACGGGGTTCTATGAACAAATCAGCCGCAGGTGCGGTCCTCGCCAGGGTACCTGCAGACCCCCTGGCGAGTAATAAATCCTCTAAATCTGCTTACCTTGGTAAAGGGGTCTCTGCCAAGGTGGACGTTTAATTCCCCCATAATCGTGGGTACAAATATGGAAAAAAAAAACAAAGAAACAATCAAAACCGCCGGCAACGGCAACGTAGAGGAGAGGAGGAACGATGCGGGGACAGAGTCCGACGCCGCATCGAGCAGCGTGGGAGGCCCAGAGAGCTCCCGACGTGTGGGGCCTGGGACCGCGGAGAACAGTAAGTTCTTCCGCAAGCGGTCCAGGCGGGATGGCGACCAGGGGCCATCATCCGGTGAAGACGAGGTCTCGGCCCGGAAAATCCCCACCAACGGGCGGGGCGGGCTGAGAGGCAAGGGGAATGCCAATCAGAGGGCCGAACGAGCGGCAAAGCTTGCCGAGGAGGGGCGCCACCCGGGCGATACGGTATCAGGCGAAGAGACGAGTGCGACTGGCGGCTCCGAGGTGGAGCGTAAGGCCAGATTCGTAAAGGAGGTGGAGGCCGCGATCAAGGTCGTGGCCAACAAGCAAAAGCCCGCCTCGAAGTTTAAGGCCATTCCCAGGGCCTCCGCCTCCATCATGGCGGCTGCGGAGGCCAACTTTGCTGGCGCCGGGCCTAATGCGGACGAGATGGCAAAGCTGCGGGCGGACGTGGCCCACCTGACGTCCGCCATGGAGACTCTCCAGAAGGAGAACGAGAAGCTCCGCGCAGACCTGGCCAGTCTATGTGAGCCTGCCTCTCGCGCGGCGCCCCAGACGCAGTGCCCAAGCCGGCCCGTGCCGGTGGAGAACCAGGTTCTGAACCTGGTCCGGCAGGAGCTGGCTGCCTTCCAGCACCGGTTCTCCGTGCTGGAGGGCATCGTCCTGCGCCCCCCCCCCCCCCCCTAGGGGCAAACAAGACGGCAGCGAGGCCGGCAACGGTCTCGTACGCGGCGGCCACGGCTGCCGCATCCAGGCCGGGGCCGTCTAGCCAGCCAACGGGCGGGGCTGCAGTTGCCCCTCCCCCCTGTAAAGCCGGCTCTGGCAAATCCGGTACCGGCTGAACCAGCTCCGGCTAAGCCGGCGACGGGAAAGGGAGGCAAGACGAAGGCGAGAAAGGGCAAGGCGGCAGCACAGGTGGTGGCTGCACCAGCCCCAGTGCCTGCGGCGAATGTGCCAGCGCCAGCGGCAAGCCAGCTGCCGCCGCCGTCAGTGCCCCCCCCAGCTCCCTACACCTCCCGCGGCTGAAGCCGGTTGGCAGGTGGTCGGGAACAAGAAGAAGGGTAAGAAGGCAGCCAAAAAGGCCAAAGAGCAGGAGCGGCAGCGCCAGTTCAGGGCGCGCAAGATCGCGGCTAGGCTCCGCGCCCCGTAGACCGCAGCTGTAGTGATTACACTACAGCCGGACGCGGAAAAGAAGGGCGTTACCTACCGCGATCTGCTCGCGAAGGCGAAGGAGGCGGTGGATCTCGGGGAGCTCGGGATCACCGGGGGCCTCCGGCTCAAAGTCACCCAGACGGGGGCCCGTATGCTAGAGGTCCCCGGGGAATCCAGTGGCGCGACCGCGGACGCTCTGGCTGCGAAGCTCAGAGCGTCTCTGGACGCGGAAGAGGCCCGAGGTGTCCAGGCCCGTCAGATGCGCAGACCTGCGCATCATGGGTCTGGACGACTCGGTATCGGAGGAGGAGTTGGTGGCCGCCGTCGCCAGGTCCGGGGGTGCACTACTGACCAGGTCAGGTCAGGCGCCATACGCCCGGACCAACAGGGCATGCATGCCGCCACGGTGTGCTGCCCTGTTACGGCGGCCAAAACCATAGTGGAGGGCCGAAGGCTGCTGGTGGGCTGGGTCTCAGCGCAGGTTAAGCTGCTGGAGCCCAGACCTCTGAGGTGCAATCGCTGTCTCGTGGGGCACCACGTATCAGTGAGATGCGCCTCGGAGGTTGACCGCAGTCGCCTGTGCTTCCGTTGCTGTCAGCCCGGACACATATCGGCAACCTGCTGCGCCACGCCGCACTGTGATGCGTGTGCGGCGACCGGCAAGCCAGCCGATCACCGGGCCGGAAGCAAGGCCTGCGTGCCACCCGCCAAGGCCAAGGCCGCGGGTAGGGTAGGGGCCAAAGCCGCCACCGCCTCTGTGGCCTCCGCCGCAGCCACAACTGCCACCGCCACCGCTGTCACTGTCGCCGCCGCCGCCGCCGCGACACCGACGCCCGCAGAGGGGCCCCCCGTGGAGGAAGCTGAAATGGAATGCCTATAACGGCCCCATTAAGCGTCCTCCAGGCGAATATCAACCACTGCGCCTGCGCTCAGGATCTGTTGCTCCAGAGCGTGGCGCAGTGGTCGATTAACATCGCTGTGGTCGCTGAGCCGTATTTTGTCTGGCCTAGGGAGGACTGGGTGGCGGACCTTAACGGCTCAGTGGCCATCATCTCTTCGGCCGCCGCCGGTACACCGACCCTTGAAGGTGTCAGGAGGGATCAGGGGTGCGTAGCAGCACGGTTCGGGGAGTTCGTCGTTGTGGGGGTGTACTTCTCCCCGAACCAATCTCTCGCCGAGCTCCACAACTCTCTTGCAGAGCTGAGAGCAGTCGTCGTCGGAAGTTATCCCCTCCCCGTACTTGTCCTCGGGGACTTCAATGCCAAGAACTTGGCTTGGGGTTCTCGTCGTACAGATGTGCGGGGTAGGATGGTGGAAGACTGGGCTCTGGAGACAGGCCTGGTCGTCCTAAATCGGGGTTCTGTCCCCACGTGTGTGCGGATGCGGGGCGAGTCGGTGGTGGACATCTCGTTCGCTAGCCCCGCTCTGTCGCCGCGTGCCATTGACTGGCGTGTCATGGAGGGGGTGGAGACCTACTCCGACCACCGGTACATCCGGTTTGATGTCTCCACCCAGCCCTCGAGCGCGCCAGTCCAACAGGCCCCGAGTGGTCCGCGTTGGGCGCTGAAGCAGCTGGACCGGGAGCTCCTCCTGGAAGCCTCGATCGTGCAGGCCTGGGTGTCATCACCGGACAGGCCTGCCGACGTCAATGATGAGGCAGGGTGGTTCCAGGAGGCCATGTCCGAGATATGTGACGT